ACACACACACACACACACACAGACAGACATACAGACAGACATACAGACACACACACAGACACACACACACACCTGGATAAAAGTATATAAGCCCAGCTTCACTGATTACAAGTTTGAAAAGGCAACGTGGCTCTACCTGCAATCAAAGGTTCGGATCGGAAGGCAGCAGGGGAATGGGGCGGGGTATGGCAGAGAAGCTGCTTTCAAGCCATTGGAAAATATATCCAATCCAACTTCTGTGTTTGTGTTTGAGAGTGAGGGAGAGAGGGATCCAACTTCTCTGTGTGCGTGTGTCTGTTTGAGAGAGGGGGGAGGGAGGGAAGGAGGGAGAGAGAGGGAGGAAGGAGGAGGAGGGAGAAGAGAAAGAATGAAATAAAACTTTTTTGCAAAGGAGAAAAACAAATGCTGTTGCTTTAAATTGGAACTGAGCATGCCTGGCTGTGGAATTCTGGGAGTTTATGTCCACAAGTCTAAAATTTTTTCAAACCCCTGTGTCAGTGCCTCACCAGCCATAAACCTCATCGCACGTCACTGATTCTCGCTCACATTTCACCAACTCCCTGGAGCTACAAGCTAGCTCCGGCTGCATCTGGGTTAGGATGGAGAGCAGCTTTGAGCCGCCCTCTCTCAGTCTCCTTGCACCGGGAGCATCCTTCTCTGGGCAGGGGTGAAGAAGAAGAAGAGCCAGCACCCTCCTCCTGTGGCTCCTTCCCAGTGCTCCCCTTGACCTCCTCACATTTGTTTATCTGGTGGCACCCTGGCAGTAGCAGCCAAGCGAGGGAACTTTATCAAATGATAAAGTAGCCCCCGCTGCCAAGGGAGAAAGGGAGCCCCCCCCTCCAGGCATCCTCTTGTCTCTGCTTAACCCTCTGCCATGGTTTCTTCGGCCCTTGTGACCAGGCAATGCAGGGGACGAGCGGGAGGAAAAGCAGCAGGAGGCAGGTGGGTGAAGAGAGAGAGAGAGAGGGGGGGGGGAAGAAAAACTTGCCCGCTCGCCTAGGCAGGTGGCTTGGGTTCTGCCATGACATGCATTTTGCTGCTCCTGCCCCAACAAAGGAAGGAGGTGCCAGCCACAACCCCACCCCACATTCAAACCAGCCTTCCTCCTCTCTCCCCACACAGGGTCTCTGGAGGTGGAGGGAAGGTCTCCCAAGACTGGCTTCTTTCTTGCACTCCTGTGGCATCAGTCCATAGGGCATGGACCATTCGGCACTGAGGTAAAAGTAGCCACAGCGGCAGGGAAAGCAAGGCTTCTTTGCCAGCCTGGCAAAAGATAAATTTTCACTGGTTTGGTGGGCTTAGCTAGGTAGGGGGCATGTGACTGAGTGGGCATATGTGTGAGTGACAGCAAGTTGGCCACGCCCACCCAGTCACACCTAGCCACGCCCACCAAACCGGTAGTAACAAATTTTGAAACCCACCCCTGCAGTACATGTTCTTGCCCCCTGTCTCTCTCTTGTAACAACCACCCCTGCCCTCCATTTGGGTTTCAGTTTTTAAGGCCAATGAGTCAGCTGTGTGAGATGGTGGGGAAAGTTAGGAAGTGCAAGGGTCCTCTTGAGTTGCCTGGCTTCATTTCTGCTGTAAGATAATGGTTTTGAATGACGTCTGATTTACTCTGTGCTCCATTAACTAGCTGTTTGCATTCTGGTAGAGAACATCATCTCTGTATCACAATTGAAGAAACATTCAGAACTGATTTGGTCACCTCTTGCAATTTGGAGGAGCCATCTTCTTCTTTGTTATGGCAGCAAAATATCTTGTAATAATCTGGACAAACAGCAAACACTTTGGCTTGATGTTCCCGCAGTTGTCCATCAAGGAGCTTAGGACTGGTACTCTGTCCTTGAATCTTGTCCTTTGTCTTTTGCCACATAATGAATGCAGTTAAATCACTCTATATCATTGTCTCCAACCCTGATGGAATACCCCAGTCTTATATCCCATGGAGCTACTCATGTTTCATTTAAGTGGTCTAGGCCATTTCCATTTCCATTTGATAGTTTGGGTAAGACACTTTCAATGGGCATCCATTCTTCTGAATTTCTCCATCTCTTTCAACTTGTCTCCTCATTGTCACTAATTATCAGCTTGTATCTGCTTTCCAGATCTTATTTATTAGCAGTTGAGTTCTCATGCACATAAAACTAAATTGGCTAGCCATGTTTTGGCTTGGTTTATTGGGCTAACCCAGTGTAAGTTCCCCAGAGTCACTTGATAGTGAGATGGGTGGCATATAAATGTAATTAATAGTAATAATAATAATAATAATAATAATAATAATAATAATAATAATAATAATAATAATAAATAATAATAATAAATATCTGAGATCCTTGAAAAGAATTCAATAGATGAGATGAAAATGCCAAATTCAGTCTAAACATCTGGCTGAATGGGCGACCAATAATAATTATAGTGATGAAATAGCTTACATCCTGTGAGGATAACTTTAGCACCATCAAACAACATTTGCCTATTTCAGATCCTTGGAAAGGACTTAATAGGTGGATTAAAAAAAAAACCAAATCCAGTCTAAACACCTGGCTGGATGTGCGACCAACTATGATAAAAATATAGGAATTTAGGAAACCCAGAAAACGGGACTATTTGATAGCTAAAGTGGTCCTGCAAACACAGACAAGGGCATTTCCCACTCTTTTACTTTGTTTTACTTTGTTTTACTCCCTGCACATTAAGAGGCAGGAACAGAAGGAGGAGCAGAAGCAGGACAAGGATCAGAGGCAAGTCAGTGTTGGCAAAATCCTATCATGCTGAGACCATAAAACTTACACTGAAACAATAGTAAAACTAACAAAAAATAACAATGGCCATGACATTATCATATGCTAACAAGCCTTGGCCAGGCAGTATCATAATCTTTTATTGAGAAATCCAACATGATGAGTACAACTTCTTTTCAGTAGATGCCTGAGCAAATTCTCAATGAACTGTTTTAATTTTCACAATCACTTTTATAGATGCTTTCATAGAAATAATGTTTGCTGGCACTTATTTTAGTAGCTGGACTGTCTATACGTGTCCTTACACTCCTGCTTCTGGCCTAGTTTGCTAATTTTTAATTTGCTAGACTCCAAAGATCTAGGAAGTTGTACACTGATAATTAAGATTGGGAGTTAATTATTATACAGGCTAATAAATGACAGGAGTCTCATTTATCTGGTGATTCATTCCCCATCTTTTTGACTAGTCCTTGAGGGAAGC